AACCTCATCAGGACATTTATTTGATACTTTGCCTAAAAAGCATTTGGCATTCTATAGAATGCCTAGGCATTTTATACAATGCCTAGGGAAAGTATGTAATACTTCTCACCTTTCATACTTTGCCTAAAAACATCCGGCATTCTATACAATGCCGGCGCTTCATACTTTGCCGGTAACATGTATATCATATCCAACGAAGGTTTTCAGCATTCGATAATAATCAGTTACTATAATGATCTGCATCGCTATAAATTGAAGATCACGTCTAATTCACTCTGTAAGCAGCACATAAAGAATATCTTTTCTTCGTCCACAACCTGTTTAAGGATATTGGCGAGTAATTTATAATTAGCATATAGCTCATTCACTTGAGGGTGATTAATTTATGTGTTAGAGCGATTATATTCGTGCGAAAACAACCATTGCAGGGTGTTAAGAATTGTCAAATTAAGCCATATCAAGTCAATATCAGTTGCTATTCAGAATTCAGTTGCCATTCAACCCTGTCACTTTAAAATGATCTTGTCAATTATTATATCAATAATTCTGTAAATAAATTATTATGTGTGTTACAGTCCACTGATCAATAAATACATCACGAACACTAAACACAGGGGAAGAAGAAAAATATTGCCTCAACAATACTTGATTGTTAGTTCTACAACTTTCCACGCTCGTGTTATGAATAAAATGTTGGATTTTTTAATTTTTTTTTTTACAGTTTGTTTTATGTATGTGGACGAAATATTGATGAAATTATTAAAATCAGTATTTCTAAATGGACATTTTCAAAAAAAAAATTAGTCCCGTCGAATGTGCAGTGGAATGATCGTAAAGACACAGTTCGTAGCGGAACACCGAAATCAAGATAACTGCTGTGAGTAAGTGGATGGGTGACCACTCTGATCAGCCTGCGTAGACACCAAGGGTGCTCGTTATCGGTCCTCATTAAACAATTTTATCATAAAGTGTTCGTCTTCGCACAGATTATCGGGCTATCAAATCAGGGGAGGGGGGCCAGACCCTCTGCAGAGGATCAAAATTGTGATGGCATGTCTCTGGGATCAACCTCAAGGATATTTTCCAGACCATGGCAAATAGTCCATTGTATAGATCTAGTGCGACGTAAATGAAGTACCTACCAATGTAGAATAAATTCCAAATACAATATCTAGGTGTTACGAAACTAATAACTTTCAAATTGACAAACGAATTGTTACCTTTAGAAACATTTATTGGGACGTAACACAAACATATACATATTAACACAGACACTCAAGACATAATGCGTTTCATATAGCAATTACATAGGGGCGCTGCTCGAGCACTTCTGGATACGAATATTCTTCACACACCCCACCTGTACTCTGTTAAGAGTACATTTACTAAGCTATTAAATGCAAATACAAATTAAATTATATTAAATCATATGCAAATACAAAACAACGAAAAGAAAGCATTGTAATGACACAAGCATAAAATTGGCAATGATACATGTAACTACTTAATCTGCTAGAATGATCGTCGTTTCTTCAAAGCTAAGAAAAGATTTACCGAGAATTTTTCTTAAAGGTTCTTTACTCTTCATGAGTCTTTCATAAAATCCTCCCACCAAGGAACATGAGGGGGGATAAACTGTTATGTCATGCAAAGCCACAAATTTTTTAACTCTGAATCATCTAAAATTTTAGAAAAACTTTTAAAAATGTTTTCTGCATTTTTAAAACTCTTAGCGTTATTCGAAATGATGACCTTACAATTTCCTCTTCTTCCCAAAAATCGTCTTAAAGACAAATAAAGTTTTTTGTTGTCATATCTGTGACTAACTCAATATGAACAACCCTTGTAACAGCAAGTGTAAACAAGGTTATATAAGATTTCGACGAGACTAGTAAAGACAGTGACTGGACAGTAAAATCAATTCCAGTAACAGCATAAGGGGGGTTTTCAAGAACTCTAGTCTTTGGTAATTGTGCAGTAATTTGTTCTGCAGGATTTCAAAGAGTACCTTTTACAACTGAGACAAGTTTTTAAAACTGTTTTCACTATTTGTCTACCCTGCTGATTCGGAATCCAAAATGCACTGCGAATTTTTGCGAGGGTAGCGGACACCCCACCGTGACAAACCCTTTTATGTTCTCTCGAAATTAGTAATTCAGCAAAATTCGACTTTTTAGGTAAAAGAATTGGATGAATCTCGCTATCTGAAAATTCAATTTCTTCTAACCTTCCCTTTACCTGCAAAACATTATTTTTATCTAAAAATGGGGCGAAATAATAAAGAGATTACTTTTTAGATACCTGTTTACCATTTTTAATGCATTCCAATTCAGAAGAGTAGACAAGACTTTGCTCATACCTTATCCAGTCCATCTCAGCTTCTGAGAGCTCAGTTGCTGTGTAAGATCCCAACTCAACTGGTAATTTTTTGAGCATGTTGACGAATCTTTTAACCAGTACTGTAATTTTTAACACTCTATCTAAGTTACTAATTTAAATCTAACACAAATTCTGAATCAAACACTGTACAATTACATTGGGAGATTATTTCACATTCTTTTCTTAATTTTAAATCTCCAATGGGTTTCTCATTTTTAATTTTACAAGGCCAAAACTCACTAGGTAGACTCAACCAAGGTGGTCCATACCACCACAACGAATTTTTGACAAAGTCCGAAACAGAAAATAGTAAAAAAATTGCATATTTCAATCTGACTCTGTTTACACTTAAAAATTTTTTTAAATAATTTAAAATGCTTCCATATAGCCTTAAAAAATTCTCAAATTAAGCTGTGTTTTAGACTTTTCATTGACCATAACCTTTAATTATTTGTGATCAATGACAAGCATATACAGTTTTTAAATGGTGAACATTCTGATAACGAAAAGAAAACGTTTTGATTATATCACATTAGCACAATCATTAGTTTGTATTTGAAATACAAACTAATGAATAAAAGGAAACTCAAATCAAAAATTATAAAAATATGGGAAAAATATTTTTGTGCTTTAACTACTATAAAGTTAATCTAACACATTATGAGATCAACTCAGATTTTATGTTACATAAAACAAAATTTAAAGATATATAATATGCCTTTAAATATAAAATCATATATGGCATTGAATTCTATTCATTTGAAGAAATTAATTGCATTCCTATTTATTGATTTTTAAAATACCATGAAAGTTTATTTCGGTTACAGGCAAAACAAAAGATAGGTTTTGAAAAAAAAAATTCATTTTGGGCTTCTTCAAAGCACGAAGGGTCTAATTTTTATATTTTTTAAGCTTCCTGTTATAACATTAATCAAAAAGGTACTTTATGTATTTTCATTTGTGAAATATTAATATCCAGTAATGTACAGCATATAAATTTATAATTGTTTTATTAGAGTACCCATCTAATTTTATTCTTTCATTGTTAGTAATTACTAACTTATGGGCAATTCTATGATACAAAGGACAACATAATTAAAAGAAAAACATTTAACAGCAACCCTCCATTAACGAATTTCTTAGCTTTTATTTATTTAAGATATGAAATTAAAAACTTTTGTAGTAATAATAATCAAAATTATAATGTACTAATAATTTGACTTATAATAATAACTTATAATGAATTGACTTATAATAATCAAAATTATAATGTACATTATCTGTCAGTAACCTGTAACATTAGTCACAGAGCTTTTTCTCAATTTGCCACTTTACATTTTTATAAGTCAATTCAAGTAAACTTTCAATATTTCTAATTAATTTGAACTTCTTTTTTTAAATACATTTAAAAAATAATCTCATTATTGCTTATAGAAGGAGAATTAAGTGAGGAGAGAAGGAAGCATCTCAGATAATTAGAAAAAAGTATTTATCAATGAAAAGAAAGTTTAAAAAATAAGAAAACCCAGCAAAAACCTAAATCAGTCACTATAAAACTAACCTATAATGAAAAGCTTTTTTTTTTTTGTTGCATTTTTAAAAAAATTTTAAGCAATTTTTTACGAAATTCTGATAAAACTTTAAGTAGCATTCCATTTGCGCCCTCAGTAGTGCCGGGATAAGGACAATTATTCCTGTCGTTTTTCTTGCCCCCAGATGCATTTAACCTTGGAAACAAATAATATCATGCTGATATTAAAGCACAAAATTTCATTTGTAATTAAAAAATGAAAGGCATCAGAATGAAAAATTTCTACTAAGTTATAATATCTATCTAATGGGGATTGTGTTGCTTAAATTCAAAGCAAAAGTTGTTGACCAGTTGAAAATATTTTGAAAGACCATAACCCAGTAAATTATAAGTCACACTTTTTCATCTTATTTTATGTATTAATATTAAATAACTATAAAATAATTTTAAAAATCATGTTTAAAAAAAATTATGAAATGTATCATATTTTTTAAACTCTAATAAAATTGTAAAAATAATAAAAAGTTTAAAATTTCAGGCGTAATACAATGTCTTAAAAAATAACTAAATTTAAAATCATATGAAATACAATACATAATTTGATACATAATTATACATAATTTGACATATACATAATTTGAATACCATATTTTAAGTTCAGGGTTCTAAAAGTTTTTATTATCCCTCCACTCTGGTTCAGAAAAGTCTAATTTTAAAATTAAGATCTTGGGTATACAAGTAAAAACATATAAAAGCTGTATTTTTAATTCCATTAAAAAATAACAGTCAATAAATGATCAAAATAGAAAATTTTGTTTACAGTTAAAATTGATATTATGCTCTAAACTGTTTAAATTGACATACATAAAATTGCGAAAGAACTCAAAACCTTGTTCTACATGCAATTCTAATGCTATATTGTAAATGTTTTATTTCATCAAAAAATTACAGACTTGAAGAATTTTTTTTATGTACTTTTACTTTAGACATGGAGTATAACAAGGGGCATAAATATAGCCCCTTGGTTCAAAAATGTTCAGTATAACTGAAATACACAAAAGCAATAAATAAAACCAGGTATGAACAAAAATTCAAAGTGACTGTCTTTATTTTTTACTGCCAACATATTTAAAAAATAAAATATTTTATAGAAAACTTTTGCATAAAGAGTTCAGAAGCTTCAAAAATAAGTATGACAGATAAAACGGAAATAAATAAATAAATAAAAATAAAACAATAATAATAATAATAATAAAACTTACAAACTATTATAATTCCATGCAATAGAATCAAGCTGCATTTAAATAAAAAATTAATATTTGGATTTCAACTATTAAATAAACAAACACATGAATTCACAATAACCAGACTAACAAAATTAAACATATTTTCAAAGAAAAAAAAAGTAAACTTTATTCTGTTATTTCAAACAATTTTTAACAGTGAAAACTTCATTGAAATTTCTATCAATATAACATTCAATATAACAGATCAATAACAAATCAATATAACATTGCAAGATTGTTTCCTGGGACCATAAAACTTATGTGTGCCTTCATTGCATGGACTAAGCATAAATCTTCTGTTACTATCAAAATGATACCTGAAAATTTCAAGAATAAGATACAAAACCGTGTTTCACTTTTTTAAATGACCTAAAAGTCTCTCCAGAGGTAATTATACATTTTTGTTCTAAAAATGAATACATTTTAAATGAAATTATACTCAATTGTATTTTAAAATAACGAGAGTAGTCCTTTAAGATTAAGATTCGAAAGACAATATTCGACTGAAAGACAGAAATTAAGATTCGAAAGATAGTATCTGTTGAAGGAGTTTCTTTGTTGAAATGGCAGCAGTATTTAATACATTATGTTTAATTTTTTTAACCGCCCTCTACCCAACCAAGAGACACAACTATGCCAAAGTTGCACAAATTATTTATCAACTAGCTCAGATGTTTTAATGAAGTGCCAAGTATAGCTATCACACTTTTTTGATATTCCACTTGATCAAGTTAGTGACTAAATTTTTGTTAATGACTATGAGGTAAATATTTGTTTAGTTTCTTTTTAGTAAACTTTAGCTCTCAATCAATGTGGCACATAAAATGTTACTCTAGCTACTCTACTTAAATATAAGGATTTAGGATAAAATTATTTTAATTTTGCTTTAGCTGGGTTTTAAATTTTAAGGAATATGGTGAATTTGTAACTAAAATGAAGAACAGCACATGAAGAGACATTTTTCAACAACAAATTATCCCTTTTGAGACAAGTTGACAATTAGTGCACTGAAGTGTCTTGCTATTGCGTCAGAAATCAATTTAAATGTGGAACGGAGGAAAAAAAATAGGTATGTGCAGTTTCTCAATTTTTACAAAAATATAAGTTGAAAATTAGTGTACAGTTTTATTATAGAGTTAGCGCAACAAAAAAAAAATACATTGTTAATTTTTTTATTGAAATATAAGGTGACAATTAATCAGGTTTATTGAATTTTTTTGCTAAGCTCAAAAACAGAAAGAAAGAAAAATTTACAAGATGTATACAGACTACAGCATACATAAAATCTTGTTAATTCTTTACTGCAAGTCTACTTATTTGTATTTATGATAAAAATTCTGCTATTATAATTCTTATTTTTCCTTCAATAAAAATTTTTATTATGATAAAAGCACTCCTGCAAAAGCCAGTATATTGGCCAAGGGATCTGGCAAGTTAAGGCTTAACAGTAGTACAATGATGTAAGTGTAACAGCTTTAAAATTGTTTCAGGTATTATGAAAGCTGTATATTCCACAAATATTTCATTTGTCTTGATAATATATTTTCATTTCTTTTTTTTATTACATAGAAATAAAAACCAAATAAAAAATGTTAATACATTCCTTTTATTGACTGTAGTTAATAAGGGTTAAAATGATTGCTAAAAACAGATAAGTATTCTTGATTTTTTCTTAAAAGAGAAAGGACGGTTTGGTCTTTAACATATTCAGTATCATAAACTGCCAAAAACTGTTTAAAATTGCTAAAAACTAATGATAGTTACAATACAAGTTTTAGTAATATATTTATAATATTTATTAAACTATAGTTATACACCAATGAATAAACATATGCTAATATATAATAATATAACTAAATATATTATGAATAATTACGCCAATGTAGAAAGTGTAGTTTAGAGCATAAACAAAATTTCAGCTCATCTTCACTTTCTTTTTATTATTTTATAAGAAAATTCTACTCTTCTAAAGAATATTTGAAATCTTTACGTTGAGTTATTATTATTTTAATCTTCATATTATTGAAATCAAAATGTTCTATTTCCTTTTCATAATTTGCAGCATTTTGTTTTATCAACTGCACAATATTAATAAAAGTGGAATGAATCCAAATTATAACATTGGATCAGTTTCAAAACAGAATTGACAAAATCAGAAAAAAAGCTGATAAAAGCATTAATTTTTTATATTTTGTAATTAGTAATTTAACTTTTAAACTTAAGAGCTTCAAATCACCTTATTTTATTCTATGTAAAGGAATGAAGATATAAATAATTGTTAGAATGTTTAAGGTACTTTTCAATAGTTAAAATGTCTTATTAAAAGTAACTTAACAATTACAGAGCTTTCAGCAAGCAGATCTTTTGTTAGCATATAGTGTTCATATATAAAGTACATTTGCGTATAAAAAGGATATTTTTTTTTCTGAGAAATTTACTTTTCAACATAAGTTTAATCTGTACAAGAAAAGTGGTAACTGAAGATTTAAATACATAAAATTACTTCAATGAGCTAATTTTAGGTGAAAATAACAAACTTATATTAATAAGGATATTTAGTTAATTAAGTTTAAAACAGTTTTTTGATGTGTCGGTTCTATCAATGGTAAAATTGTCAAAAACTTGATAAGAAGTGAAACGTAAATAAATCTACTCAATGTCTGAAGTAATTTTAGAGTTAAAAGTTAACAAAGTTAAAATAAATAATGATAATTACTCAGAACGCACTTCACCCCCGTCTTTATCTGTAAGTCGCGAAGTATTGTCTAAACTGCTAGCAAGAAGACAAGACCATCTTTTGTGAAGTTAACACAGTTGACTGAACCTAAAATATATGACAACATAATTTTAGATCATGTTAAAATTATTTAACGGAAATAATTAACAAAAAAGATCATAATATTTAATGGCCTGAGTAAAACATATGTAGTCATTAAAATTTCTTTTTTACAAACATAAATATATATATTTATTAGGTATTATTAAAAATAATAAAACAATTTTCACAGTCACAAAATTAATAAAAATGTTAAGTAAATGTAAGTAAAAAATGTAAGTGTTAATACAAGGGATAAAAAAACAAAAAATACACACTTAATGACTATTTGCTTTATATATCTAACTAGAAAATTATACAACACTTAAACTAATAGATTTTCTATGCCTTTCTGGAATAAAATGAAAATAATTAGTTCATTCTAACTCATGTGCATTCACACTTTGAAAAAACTGTGAAAATATTCATAGATAAAAAAAAAAGAAGTTCTGAAACTATTTATCATTAACTAGCTGAATACCCATTTTTTTGTACAGAGTGAAATAAAGTAAGCCATCACTTTATCAGTACTGAAACAGCCTATTGATTGAGTAAATATCAATTGACTAGTCATTATTTCAATTATTTTTTAAATAATGTTCTTATGAAGCTTTTTCAATGAAGCATTATGCAGCATTTTCAAGAAAAAAAAATTTCATACGATCTATGATTTTTATTAAATCAGGCATAGAGGCATACATATGTTATTAGTAGGTTTTAGGAATTATGGTTTCTGGTCGACCATGGCGATCAATAAATTTTGAGTGATTATATTTTTAGCTTTTCAATTACGATCAATCTCATTTTTAGTAAAAAATTATGTAAAAAAAAGTTTTTCAATTGAATTAAAACGTAATTTATTTATTTAATAATTTTTTTTGTTGCCATTCTTATATGTGTTTTCAACAATCACTAGGAGAAAAATCCAATTTATCCTTCTCTTTACACTAACGCGTATTCATCGAACTTGTAATTCTGAACTTCGTGTTAAAAAAAATACAGGGTATCTGCTAGATTTTAGATTTTCAAATTCATACTTTTCATGACTAATTCCATGAATTTTTCAAGACTTACCGATGTTACTATTTTCTCCGGCAAAAACACAACAATAAATTTAAAAAAGCATTATACCATTAATTGAAATGATAGGTATAACCAAAATTGCTATACTCTGCATCTTCATATTAATAGATTTTAAATTTAAAATCCAGAGTAAAGAAAGAGTTGAAGCAATAAAATAGCTAAAAAAAATACAGAAGCAAATAATGATTTTTTTCTTTTTTTCTGCAGAATTATATTTTAAAGATACTTTTCTTGTTCATCGGAAAGGAAAGAAACTCCTAGTTTTTCTGTTCTCATTTCCTATAAAAAAATTCGTCAATGACTGGCTTGCTTCAGCTAGAATTTGATATTGATAAAATAAAAAAAATAAACAATAACAAAAATTCTGAAATCACAGAAGTTTAAAAGATAATGCCCTCTAGAAGTGATGTTTTTTCATTCATTTTTTGAAAGAACACCATAATCTTTAAAGAACATGATAAAAACATTTTATATTTTAATAAAATATGACTGTGAGTGGGGATTTTATAACAAATTCAAATGTTCAGAACACAATGATAATTTTTTTTTGGGGGGGGGGGGTTAAATTCCATTTTAAAAATTCGATTTTTCAGCAAATCCAAATCCATGCTTTTTTTAAAAACAAAAATAGTTAAAATCATGACAAATTTCGTTTAATACCGAAATTTATGGTTTTGCATGATTTCTTATGACTCTCCAGGTACACAGATACCCTGAAAATAGGAATTTGAGAAGTCATGTTGAAATCCATAAAAATAACTGCACAATTGCGATCAAAAAACCATATGGGTTTATAATTTCCCCATTTTTATTTATGTAATTAATTCAATTACATAAATAAAAATTCAATTTAAAATAATTTATTTTAAATTGAAATTATTAAAATAATTTAAATATATTTTTTAATTTAATATTAAAAAATCACAGAATGATAGAGACAAATGAAGAAAAACAGACTCCAAAAATATAAACTAAAATAAGTATGTATCTTTACAATCAATTTACAAAAGATTGTAAAGTATGTTTTAGTACAAACAGTTTGAAGAATGAAGAATAAAATAACTATTTTATTACTACTTAATTTAACATAATGGAGCTTTAAATTTAACAATATTCTTATTGACATATTGCTGCATTATATAAATAAGAAAAAAATATACTTTAGATTAGATTAAAAAATAATATTAAAAATGTAATTTGAAAATTACAATAAGGAATATAAGCATACTGGATAAGTACAATACCGATTTATTTACGCTGGTGATGGAAAACACCTAATCCCCATTGATACTTTCTACTGTAGCAAAAGTAGTGTGTTTAACAAGTAGATAAAAATAAACTTTGGGAAGCTTAAATTCTTTCAATAATTACATTATTTAAATAATTTTAAAAACTACAAGAACATGGAATGTCATTTTATTTTAAACATTTTTTAGAGACATTGACTTAATCTTAAATTTGTTCACTTTATTTTACATCAGGTATGGCAAATTTCGTCCATGGTGATGAAAAAAAAACACCTTTAAAGAAATAGATTTCTTTCATCCCAATTGGAAGAAACTCTTTCCCAGTCAGAAATATTAAATATTTAAAGAGTTTTTTTACTAAACAGTTTATAACTGCAATCTAGCATAATTAATAATATTAATTTTTGTGGTTTTAATAACCTATCATTTTATACATAGATAAAAAACAAATAACAGAAAAAATTCTGCAAGTTTTTATGACTTTCCAATGAAATTAAGGGTAGCTAGTTCATCATTACTATTTCATTTTAAAGAATATGTTAAACTCTAATTTTATAATTAAAGAACTATCAAAATAACATAATTGAATTTTATAATTACTACTAAATCAATAAATCACACACTGAACATAGATACAATTAAAAACCCATATTGAATTCTCAATTGCAAATAGTTTATTTTTATGATTAAATAATGTTGATTATGAATGCTCAAACCTAATGATAAACTTTCCGTAACAATAAATTTAATTTGTTTTAGTTATAATACATATTCTTGAGCAATAGTATTAGTCGTTTTTATTTTATTCCATTTTGTCCTGTTTTTTCCTGTCCTGTAAGAAATAAGTTTCTTCTGAAAAAAATGCCACCATTTAACATAGAGGATTTTGTGGCAAATCATTTCTATGTAAACATTTAAAAATTGTTGATTAATGTTTGTTTGAAATTGTACAAATTTCCATAAGCAATAAATCTCACAATTATAAAGTATGTAAGAAAATTTTTTTTATTTTTTTTATTATGTTACAATCAAACTGGAAGTATTTATACGAATAATAGAAAATTTTATTATAACACTTTCTTTAAAATTTTTATTTTCAAGAGAACAATTTTAGTTTGAAAGAATACGTTTTTTGCAAAATTATAATTCAATAATTAATTGAAATTTTAAAAAAATTAACTTTACAGTTTTGTCTTATCCCAATGGTATTAAGGAAAAAATTTTAATACATCCTCTTCTAGGAGCAGGGCTAAAATATTATGTTAGCTTTGTTACTTTACATTAATTTTTGTTAGCTCTGTTTCTTATTGTTCATGGCATTAATTTTTTTTAAGATTTGGATTTATTTTCTCGTTAATATAAAGTTATTACTAGTACACCCTTTGTCGAACAGCTTAATACAGCTGAAGTACTGTTTCTTCAAAGATTTTTATATTAATTGATTCACTCTAATAGCATTCCCTTCATCCTATAAGAACTAGTTTTACTTAAAATACCACAATCAACAGACCTGAGATTAACATTAAATTCAACTTAAACAATCTTTACTGAGTTCGTTTCCTCTATTACCCAGTATTAATGTTATATACATACACTAAGATTATGTAGAAAAGGTCAGATAATTAAAATTAAATAAGTAAATAATTGATTTAAAGAAAAGAAAGACTTTAGTCAATACCCCCCCCCCTAAAAAGTTATATTTAGGCAAAGTGGAAAACAGACTCTGAAAATTTTTAAAAACAAAACCAGTTTTTTTTTTCGGGGGTTAAAAACCCTGATACATACAAGAAAGTAAATGTTTTTGATCTTACTTTTTTTTAAAAAATACTATTTTTATATTATTAATTTTATTATTTATATCACTAAAATCTATCACCTATTGTAAGATTTTATTTTTTTAACAAGATTTATATGTCATCCCTATTTTTCTCCCAAAGAAAATTTTATAGATATTTTAGCAGTTTCTTAAAAACTCTAGTTTTTATTTCCCTAGTTTATGCTTCATTTATTTTGAAATAATGTAAGAAATAACTTGTAAAATAGCTATTAACTTGCATTACAATAAACTGAATTGCAATTATATTTTAATAATAAAATGAACTGCTTTAATATTGGATGATAATGCTTTTTTAAAGAGTATCTTATATTTCTTTCGCATAGTAGGGAGAGATCTAATTCTTCAAAGGCAGAATATTTAATTGTTTTTTCTACTGGGGAAGAAACTTGTCCTATTTATTTTTTAAGTGGCATTTTTGAGAATTTATATACAATTAACTTTACAAAATATGGTACAATAGGAAGCTCTTTACTAAACTTATTTTCTCATAAAATGACTTATTTAAAGAGGTCACAGAAAAAATTTAATTCAGTATACATATAGGGTTGCCATAGGCAACTAGAATGCAACTATTTTGGATCTGAGTCAACTTTTTCACCTGAAAAAGCTAAAAAAAGCAACTATTTTCAGGAAAAGGTGACTATTTGGAGACTTTTCTGTGCTCCTAGTGATGTTTTTAATTGCATAAATTGGGTTGACAACCTAGGGCCCACGGTAACTTCTTTATTCTACTAAGTTCTTTATTTATGATGCATTAGTAAACAATGATCATTTCATTATATTTTTCTGGAAAGTTTTTTCTTAAATTATTTATTATAACATTGTTTAGCAATTACTTTAATTTTTTAACAGCACATTATGTTTTTCTAGTTGCTGATCCTGTATTTTAATGCAGAAAACCCTTCATATTTACATAGGAAAATACAAAACTATTTGATGATTAAATGTATTTTATTTTCAGTTATGTTTATTATTTTGCAATGAAGCAATTTAGTTAAAGTGAATTGTATTTTTTTGAAATTTATGTAATAAAAAGTGATGTATTAATTTAGTTATTTCTTTGAATGTGATTTTGATACATAATGGTAGGAGTTATTAAAATTTGTTTTAAACAGAGCATTGCATCTAAACCTAACATCTGTTGTCAGTAAAAAGAAAAAAATTATTGCAAAAAAGGAGAGAAAAATAATAAAAATAATATAAGAAAAAAATTATTTAATTTTAATAATTTATTATAAATATTTCATATATTTTTAACAATTAATTACAAAAGTTTCATAGGATTGTTAAAACAAAAAGTATCTTGAATAAATTACTGATAATTACATAATTACAGACACATAAATGATTTTAAGACTCCAAGTTCTATTTTTTTTCTTTTGAAAATAAACCTATTCTTTCTTTGGGCACATATAAAAAGCTAATTACTTTTGGAAAAAAAAATTTCAAACTGAGCAGTCTTTTGTATATCAATAAAAAAAATTTTCATTAATACTTAGACTAATTGAAGTGGATGAACCAAGTTCTTGTAATCAAATTTTTTTTATAGTATTTCTTTTCAAATAAATTATAACTATATCTATAAATATGAGTAACAGGAAATGTATTGAATTATAAGATTAATGTAGTTCAAAAGTACTTCACAAGATAAAAAATTCTTTCTGTCTCAACAATTTACTTCAATTATTACTTATATGCCAAAATTAGGAATTTTTTAAAGGACCTTTCCCTGACAAAACAATAGAAATTTACAATAATAGAAATTACAAGTAAAAATATTCTGAGTCGTAAATTAACGTTTTACTGAGGAAAAATTAAGGACTATCAAAATTTGACAAACCATGATATAGGAAGATGGATGTAATAAACAAAACAGGTTCAATTGCAGGTTGAAAGCATTTCTAGAATCAAACCTGTCTTGTTTATTATATCAGTCTTAATGTATTGTGCTTTATGTATGGTGCTAGCACCAATGTACATGCTTTTTTTTATATTCATTTTTGATAAAGATTCTAAAATGTATATTTAGGGCGCTCTTAATAGAACACCCTGCAAATTGGTAAAACTTAGAATCTCTGATAAATGGTTTATAGTCATTAATTGACCCAATATAAACTTCCATTGCTCTTGTAATGGGTGGCCATCAGAAAAATTTGAATGTATCAGTAGACCTGAAAGGGGCTTATATAATTGTGGTCCGCATACAAGAGTACCGGTCCAATAGAAATATGCATACCTGCTAACATTAGGGAATAAAATAACAGAGATTTTACTAGCAACATTTTTTAGGTTGCGAGTTAAGTTTTGATACATCATGCATAATCAAGTAAGTCAAAAAGAGAAATTCAAAATCGGAAATAATATAAGCACTTACATTTAGCAAAGTAAAAAATAAGCATATAAATCTTAATCTAAGGATTTTTTGAAAGCATTACTTATAATTACTTTAACTATTAACAATCACGTTTATAATTACTTAAACTATCATCACAACAGATGGTGCTATTGCCAGTACTGCAGTACTGGCAATAACACCATTTGTTGAAGAATAAGAAAATTATTTTTGCCATCAGTCGATATCTTATTGCCAAAAATTCTTTTTTGGGGGCAAATTTAAGAATACGGGTGAATAGGGTATAGTTGTAAAATACAGGAGTCTTCGTTGAAAAAACAAAAGACTTGGCAGGTATGCATATTAGTTGGAGCGTATGAGAAAATATGGTAATAAATGGTATGGTAGTAAATCATTTAATGCATACCCTTTTTCTTGTACCACTAAAGCTCGTTTGAAAAATACCATTTTGTGGTATTCAAATCCTCATTATCTTCATCACCTTCTCCAGAAAATATTTGCTGTTCAGCATCAGATGAGAGTGAAGATGAGAACGGTTGAATGTTATAAGTATAACTATCTCGGAGATCTTACAGTTGAGGGAAAGGGAATATGGCAAGAGTACACATAGTCTAGAAAAAAAATATTTTCAGTTCAGTATCAGATGAAACTAAAGAAGTGCATGGTTGTATATTATAACTATGCCTATTACAACTATAACTACTATATATGGTTGCATATTATAATGGTTGTATATGAGGTCCTGCAGTTGAGGCAAGAATCACATAGTCTAGAAAAAATATTTCAAGATTAGAAATATCTGCAGTTTAGCATCAGATGAGAGTAAAGATGTGAATAATTGTATATTGTAAGTATAACTAACCCTAAGGTCCTGCAGTTGTAAGAATACAAGCATACAGTGATTTTTCCAAGTCTGATGTGGCAATGGTTTAAATCAAATGACAGGATAACATGGTTTTGATTGTTTGATTTCTTCATACAGGTTCAAAAGCTGGGTGGCAATGATTTAAACCAAACCATAAAATTAATAAATTAAATCATGATTTTAATTACTTGATATTTCTACAAGGTAGAAAAGTAAAAGAGCTAAAAGCAAGGGGTTAATAATTTAAATCAAATAATAAAATTAGAGACTTATAAATCTTGGACATTTTTCTTAATTTTTTTTTTTTACATGTTACATGGATCGATGATTTAAATCAAATCATAAAAGTAAGACAAAAAAATTATTAAGATAAGTTAACAAAAAATAAGGAATTGCTTGCATTAAAATTTTTCAAGCAAAAGTTATTACCTATAGTGATTACTAACATATGGACACAGTAATGCTGAAGTTATAGGATAAAATATTGAAAGTTAATTGATAAAAATATGTAGGTCTTTCGTAAATCATGTACAAGTTTGGTACATGATTTAGGAAACATATTCGTACATATAAATCAAAGCTTTGATAAAATATATTAATAATGCCTAATACCTTTTAAATACACATTGCAGGAGAAGAATTTATCATATTATAACTCAAATTACTTAGTTACAATACTTTAATAACAATACTTTAATAACAATATTATAAATAAAGTATAATATTGTAAAGTATTAAGTAAAATATTTCAAACTAAAATGGTTAAAATAATTATTACAAACTAATTGCAGAAAAAAAATCTTAGTTGTTCTTATTAAAGGTTAATACTTTTCTGAATTTGTCAAGATTAAGATTTGATTTGACTGTTATATATCGAAGAATAATAATTTAATTTAGACCGAGACACATAAATTTTTTTTTTTTTAATTACTCTTGGAAGAAAGTCTTTTTTCATTATTGATATACATAAACCACATGTCTTTATAAGTTTTAAATTTGTGTTTAAACAAATATAAAACTAAATGTATATAATTTAAATATCATTTTCACCACCATATAGAAAATTGAAAAATTTTACCACTAAAAATATTTTTTAACATACGTGAAGGAAAAAAAACTTACCTTAACAAACATATCTGCATCCATAAGACCAAACTCTAAAATCTCACGTGTGAGAACACCCATAATGCAATAAAATTCATCTGCACTCTCAACAGCCATGATTCTACTGCAGATTCAATATAAATAAAAATTAATATGATAAAATAAAACATGAAAAAATAAATTTCTTTGTTGGAAAACATTAATTAAAACAAAGATTTCAGTATTATGTGTAAGTATCAGTACATGGATAAAGAAAAAAGGCATATTATATTAAAGTTAAACTTCTTAAATTTTTTATAAGCTGATTATATTTTGGACAGAAAAGAATTAGGAGTAAAAGGATTAAAATCTTTAAAATTAAAGTAGCTGTATTAGAACAGTGCTCCCGAAAGAAAAGAAAAAATAGTTAAGCTGGTTGCAGTTGGCAGTTATTGTTGCTCGTTATTTCTAGAAAAGTAATATGAAAACATTTATTATTCTTAAATTTAAACTATACACCACTTTTTTACCTTTTTATATTAGAAACAGTCCTGTATAGATGTTTCAACTTTAAATCTTGGTGGAACTAACCCGCACTTAGTGTAAATAAAAACAATAACTGGAGAAGGAGATTTAACTTTAAACTGTACGAGATTTATAAACAGCCTGATATTATTAAATATGTGAAATAAATAGAATGAATTGGATGGCCCACGTGATTAGAAGGAGTGGTGACAATACAATTAGAAAGATATTACTTTTTAGATTCAATGGATCAAGAAAGCGGGGCTGATTTGGAGGAATCTGATTTTCTTGGAATTAATTAAAAGAATTGGAGATCAAAGATAAATCAGAAATCGTTATGGAGAAATCTTCAGAGAAAGGCATTGGCCTACATTGAGCTGTCTGAACAACTATGATGATGATGGAACTAGCCTGCATTAGCGTTACAAGGAGAGAAATCCAGGATAACCTCCCACGGCAAGGGAATTCAACACTGATGATATTTTGTATAAGAATAGTGGTTTGAGTATAGATGTGGGTTGAGTAAATATCCAGTGGTTAGTTTTTTTTTATTTAAAAAAAAAGGGTAATTATGCAGGTATTTACCATTGCCTCAGATAAATAACCACAAAAAAAAATATCTGGGTATTTACCACTTTTTGGTTTTTTTAAAGCATATAACCAGAATTTGTTTTGCTTATAATCCTGAAAATAATATACTAATTTTATCTTTATTTTCAAAAACAAACTTTTAACTATACATATCAGTTCCCAAAGAAATATTTAAAAAAAAAACTGTAAATAAAGAGGAACATGATAAATTGTTACAATAAAAAATTTATGTAAAAAGGTTCGCAATGTGTGGTGGAATAAAATGGATATCATATTAAACCATTTAAGTTCACATTTGCAGTTTTTTAAAAAAACACATAATTTTTTTCAATACAATGGGATAAACTGGATTAGATAGAAGAAATCCTGAATGAACAAAGAGAGTACGATTAAAGTTTTTGGAAAGGTTTTAATTTATACTGAGTTTGTAAATTTAATATTAGTTATAAAACTAAAACTACAAATTTCATATCTAAATTTGAAGAGAAATTTATCCAGAAAACAATTTAATTTAAACTAAATTTGTCTGGTTTAAAAAAAATAAAATAAATGTAATTAGTTTAAAATCATTTGATCTTTCGTTTAGTCTTTTCTGTATCTGTTGTTTAGGATTTTCAGAATCTGTATTGTTTGATTAAAAATAATTTTGTTTCTAAAAATTAGACATATTTGTGACATTTCAAAATTTAATCCTTATCAAAATAAATATTGAAGTATGCAAATTTTTTATATTAATGAGTTATTTTTCAAGCATAAAATACAAAACAATTTATACAAAAGAACAAAATGTAGCCTTATTTACTGTATTCTATAAGAAATATTCATTATTAATAAAGCTCCTGAATTTCGTTCTATGTCTTTAATTAAATTAACAATATTAAATTTTGATTAAATATTTCTTTAAATTAAAATATCTTGTGATTTGTATTAAAAATACATCGTGCGATTAGTAATATGAAACATTTTATAAGTTTTCAGTGATAAGTTTTGTCAATACAAAAACTAATTTAAGAATAAAAAGTGAACATGCACATCAACTGTTTTTATTACAGTTTAATAACTAAAATTTCAGTCATCTAATGTTTATTCACATTATAAAATTAAGAAAGATAAACTTTATAAATTCTAAATCCATGAAGTATTACTCTACACTTATACCTATCAGGAGTAAAAGATATTTAATGCCAATAAAATTTATAATAATTAATTATTATTTATTTGTAAACTTATGCTATGCATATTTTCACTTTTTATGTCCAAATCAGACTGATGCCTATAGCATTTAATTTATGAAAAAGAAATTTTTTTAATTGAAAACAATAAATGATGTGTATTTAATTAAAAAATATCAAATAAATACAGTTTTAATAAAGCAGGGTTTGTTTTTTTGCAAACTTTTAGAAGATTTTCTATCTCATTTGTTAATTCATTAGCAATAATGATGTAAAACTCAACAAATTTGACAGCTACATAAGACATAATTATTATTTAGAAAGATAGCATCACTTCATAACTAATTATGGATCAATCAAGAAATTATGCATTATTCATACTTAGGATAAGTATTGTATGATAAATTTATTAAAGTAAATTACTTAACATTTGAATAAATTTCCGTACTTCAAAAACATATTTGCGGCAAAACTTTCCTTTAGATGTTACTTTTAAAACCACAAATTTTGAGAATTAAGATTAGAAATGTGAATTTTATGAGTATTAAACCATAACTGCTCTCAAATAATGAAAACTAAAAAAAGTACAATTTTACTAATTAACATGTTAAATTGAATGAATTTTTCTTCATAAAAAAAGAATTAACTATTGAAAATGTAAGTAAATTTTAATTATGCTTTAAATATACATAATTTTGTAAAACTTTAAAGAAACAGATAACCATTAAATTTGCAATAAAATTGATAAATACCCATTTATTTATAAATTTTGGGTATTTAGCCTGAGTTAGAAAAACCCAGGTAATTTACATCTACAGGTTTGAATGAGCTGGGTGTAGAATTTGTAATATCCAGCCATTGCTGAAGTTTACAACTGGGTTACCTCATTGTGAGATGAGCATTCCACCCTCTGAGCCACCGTGACTTTTTATTAACTGTTTTAAATTTGTGTATAAGTGACATAATTTTTGGTCTTTTAACAATATTTTAGCTTTATTTGTATACAATACAAAATTAACATAGCCTTTATTTGTATTATCAGATTCAGTTTTACAAATTTTTACAGAGGCAATGCAATTTTTCTTATAATTTGTCAAACAAATAAATGAAACTTAACTTGGAACAGGCTCTTATGATGCTTAAAAGCAGAGATGTAGTATAAATATTTGGGTAAATAGCAGCCTATGAAAATTTTTTTTTAGACATGCCAAAACAATTAAAAGAATTCACCTTGATTAGGAAACATGGCACCTGAGAAACTTTAGTTTGAACATCTTAATACGAAGTCAGAACACACTGAGAAAGATTTGTTTAATGACATGACACTAGTTGACAGTTGAAAAATTTTGCAAGATAAACAATTTCTATGTATGAAAAAATTTGCTAGTAAAACATTTTTTATACTTGGATCTACATACATTTGCAAGCAAAGATTTACTGGCTTGAAGACAGTTTAACAAAAGTAAAATTAGACAGATATCAACAAGCAATCTCACTACTGATTTCAATAACACTATAAGAAAGTGTAATAGACTTCTCTTATTAAAATTATTCTAAAATTAAATGTGTTTGAAGCTATAAGTAACATAGTTACGGTATCTTAATTATATAAGTATATATATCTTAGTAATTGTAATTGGTTCATTAAATAGGTCACACGATACAGACTAATAGGCTCTGATACAGACAATGATGTCCTAGAATCTTTTGCTTCGTGTAAAATTTTAAATGTAAAATATTAGAAAAAAACGTAAGCAATTAAAAAATTTTACTCACTTAACTATACAATAAAAAGTAAATATACATTAAAATATAATGAGTAAATATTTTTACAGAAGAAAGATGCTTAAAAAAAAGTATTTCATTCTCTGATACAGACTGACAAATCATAGAATATTTTGCAACATGTCAAACCTAAAATTAAAAATTATACTAAATTAAACAAAACTTATTTCAAAATTTAAAATTTTTTAAACAAATTAAACTTTAATAATTTAAAAATTTAACAGTTTTACTCATTTCATTATAATATTAAAAGTAAATATACATCAAAATGTAATGAATAATTATTTTTACAAAAGATTTTTTTTAATAAAAAGCATTTCATGCTTTGAGAGTTTTAAATTAACATATTTCTGCTGAGATGTTGACAAAGATGTTATAAAATTTTTTGCATCACATGAAATTTAAAATTATACTCAATAATAACAACATTTATTTAAACAATGAAATTTTTGCTCATTTCATTATAAAATTCAAAGATTGATACAATAAAATGTAATTATTTTTACAACAGGAAGACGAATAAGATATTTCATATTCTAATACAAAGATGTCTTTTGTATGATGCATGCAAGACTTTATAACAGAAATTTAATGTTTAAAAAAAGAAACTTACATTATTTTAATGTGCTTCAAAAGAAACACCTAAAACTTTAAGATAAAATGCAGATTTTTTTTCGAAGGCCAAATACATATCAATGAATCTTTTATAATAAATTTTATATCGATTATATAAAACACATTTTACTTAGGCTTGGTGAATACCTAGTACAGAGTGTGTAGCACTCTGTACTAGGTATATAATACTAAGATACAAAACACTCTGTACTAGGTAAATAAAAAATAAGCACCTTTTAAGCATTCAATTTTAATCACTTATAAAAAAAAAATCATAATCAGGATACATGCAGATATAAAAATTGTTTCTTCCTATTGTTATAAGTTCTTCATTTATATAATCAACAAAATGCAAAGAGTTTACATAATCATGATAAAATAACAAGTTACTGCTAAGTTAAGCTTCTTTTTGCAATGTATGACGATGATTGACACAGCAATGAAAAAAATCTTTATTTGAAAGAAGGACAATTCAGCACTTTTTATAAACCCTCAGTAGAAAAAAAACCCCTTTAAATTCTTTTAAAAAATATAAATAATTTTATAAAAACTCTACACACTCTGTAGTATTCATAATATGGCCACAAAATTTTTTTTAATAAAAATGATTTTTATTAGGAATAAATTTAAAAAATTTCAAGTAACCTTGAATCTTATTTTGAAATAATTCCTTATGAGTAAAACTATACACAAATAGCCAAAAAAGGAGATGGTATAGACTAAAGCAAAATACAATGTGGATCAAGCACAAATGAAAATGTATTATCATATTTGTGCTTTATTTATTCACATGTTTTTTTCTTTTTTTTGCTTTGCTTTAATCATGACCATATAATTCATTTAAATTAACATACAAAGAAAATATGCTTGAAAATAAAATTTCTGTTAGAAATTTCTGTCAACTTTAAATTTCAAAGTACTTTCCTAGTGGTGGCTTCACATAAGTTCTGGTCTTTCAAGTTCTACCTTCTTCAGTACTGATTCAGTTCATTTAGATATATTTGTTTTATTCTCATTTAAATTTTAATTTGCAACCACTAAAACTTTTTTGAAAAAGGTTTAAAAAATACACACTAAAGGTGATCATTTTCAAATACTCTGTACATACATTTACATATATAAATATAGAAAATATTTCTTTTGAGCGAATTTTAAAATTAAACGGTTACAAAGTAACAAATTGCTTGCGATTCTTTGTTTCTAATTAAATTAATTTCATTGATTCAACAAAATTTTAAAAATATAATAAAGGAAAGGAAACTGAAAGCAAGATAAATAGCATTTAAATTCATTATTTTATTAATTTGTCCATTTAGAAACCAACAATAAAAATAAGATAAATCACCTGAACAGGCTCGCGAGACTTGCTAAGGCAATCCCATGCACAAGCAGTATTATAAACTGAAGCAGATAGTAAAACTAGATTCTTCGTTGAATTTTATAGCATCGTCATGACCTAAACTGATGAATTATAGTAAGCGATAAAAAGTATAAATAACTGTCAATTAGATCAAATTCACATACATACTAAGAGAACTTTCAAAATGCTAATATTAGCCTAACTAATAAATAAACAGTAAGGTTTGTTTTTCCAGGCATTATAATCTTTCTCTCTCTCTTTTTTAAGGAATGTTTCCTGAAATTACAAACTATAAGAATTACAAAAGTGTTTTTCTGCCTAAGATTTTACCTTAAAAATAACAAATTGAAAATATACTTTCTTTACACTGTTTTCTAAGGATTTAATTAACTTTACTTTAATAATTTAAAATAAAATATAAGCTACATTATTACATTTAAGATCATTTAAAGAACACATTTTGCTAAAAATTTATAAAACAAAAACATTACCTAATTGTATTTAATTCATTTATAGAAAATGGGGGAAATAATTTAAATGAAATAATTTAAAAGTTTAAGTAGAAATCAGACAGTAAAATGTAACTTTCAGATTATTGTTTTTTTGACGAACAAAAATACATTTATGTATAATAATAAAATGAAGATTTTGCGTGTGTACATCTAACTCCAGAATTGTTTGTACTAGCGTCCTGGAATTCAAACAGCGATTTTTAGGAAAGGAGGCAAAATTGTCCTTTGCAGCAAAGAACAATTTTTGCCTCCTTTCCTAAAAATCGTTAGGTATTTTCAATAAGCAGATGAAAAGTTGATGGCTTATTTCATGTTATTTGAAAAGCGCTGACTTTTTATCTGCTTCCTTTTAAACATTTTATAAGAAATACTTACAACACATTTCAGTATAAACTTTGTATATTCAGTATAAAATATAATATCCTAAAAATTTACTTGAACTACAACTTGATTCTTATATGTTACATAAAATATTTATTTTTTACTTTTTTGCAAAAAAACATCAAAAAAAAATTATTTTTTGTTTTTAAATAATTTTATCTCGAGTTATATCCTCCATTTTAGATAGAAAATGAAGCATGCTAACAATGTTTAAATTTCTCTTTATTCCTATACCTATTCACTTCCGAATGAGCTGTGTTCCGGTGAAAAAAATTTTTAGTACTACAACACTGACACTTGTGCATGGTCATAAGACCACTGAAATTCACTGTAATGGCAACAAACAAGTGCCATGTACAAGTGAAACAAATTAAACTATAAACTAGACAAAATTGGAAAATTAAGAGAGAACTGTTAAAATAGATAAATAAAATATGCAATATACTTTTTTGTTGTTGTTACTCACTTATGTTTAATCCCTTTAGACAAGTTACACCTGATTTGAAGCTATATTATAGTTTTAATAATAATAATAGTTTTTAATAATAATCTTATAATAATAATGGTCAACTTTATATATTTAATTGTCATTAATAGTAGGTCAAATTTAGTCTATAATTGGTGGTTTGGACTCACAAATGCTGAATTAAGATTTTATATCAGTTAATATTAATATCTGTTGTGAGTGAAGCATTTTTATTTTCATTTTTATAATATATTATAAATATTCAGCATTCATAAGACTCACTTTCTTTTTAAAGTTAAAAAACAATTAAGAAGAATTTATTTTTACATGTGTAATTTGTAGCTTAGCCTCAAATTTTTTAAACAAATTATTTCAAACATTGTTAAGGTGTTTTGAAATAGCTTTCAGTGGAAACACCTGTTTAATATGTAAAGAACATTGGAAATTAACTAACACTGCTAATTAACTAACACTGGAACACTATAAAAAGGTTTAAAATTAAAAAAAAAATTATTGTTTGAAATTTGTATCTATTGACACTGATAACTTAGAATTTGCACACTATGATTTAAATAGTCAACTAAGACCGTAATTGCCAACATTGAGAGGACGAGATGATTCCTACACCCTCCCAGTTCAGTACACCCGCCTTGGCCTTCTTCCCTTCATCTAATTAATATTAAAAAATAATCATCATCAAAACTCTTCTAAGAGTTTTATTAGAGAGAGAAGATATTTTTAGGCAAATTTAATCCCACAGTGGTTTTAAAACCAGTTTGACAGAATTTAATTATATAAATCAACTTTATTTTTTAATGATTAAATTTTTGGTTAGAGAAGTTTAGAAATACAATTGCTTCTCAAAATTGAGTATAGATTTAAATATTAGAACTTCCCAAAGTAATGGCTACTGCTTTGAGACTTGCAGGCAATGAAACAAGGGAAACTATTAAAAAAAGCACAAAAGAGGAGAAACTTAACGCTACCTCAGGCAAACCTCTACATATTATTACTTTTTTTAAAAAAAATTAGGAGGTTCGACTAGGGATTCTCCCATCGACCATTTTTGCCCTAATCAGACAGCTTCTGCACCAATAACTGCAAATTTTATGATTATTACTGTGTAATTCTAGACTACACAAGTTAATTTCCTTTAGCGTGATGAAATGCAATTTTTTTTTCTTCTTTTTTTACTCTGCTGCAAAATGATTGGAATTTGAGATTTGTCTAGCACCCAAGAGAGGGCAGTGGCATATTTTCAAGAGTAAGGAATTATTTATCCTAAAAAATTGTGCATGAATGGACATGATATGGCGTTAATGGGAACGTACATCAAAACTGATAAGCATGGTTAAAATCAAGAATAATTCAATGTGTAATTATAAAAAAACATAAATTTTTACTTTGTTTTGATTGTTTTTATTACATATTTTTACACATAAATTTTTTTGTTATTATTATTTGATAAATTTAATGGAATATTTATTTTGGAATTTGCTTTTTTCATTAAGGGATTTGTGCATTTTCTGCAGTGATGACAGGTAGATGGGATGATCCCAAATTACCCTCAAAAAGTAGCTGTCTCGAACAGGTAGTGATAAGGAAATATTACCTAATGTAATGCGAAAAAAATGCCATTCATTAAAACAATTAAGATCCCCAATAATTACATATGAAATCAACATTAAGAAAATTTTTCTCTCCCCCCCCCCAAAAAAAAAGAACATACCTGCATGACGTCGAAACTTTCTTATTATTTGAGCTGTTCTAACGTCCCATTAAAAAATGCTTTTTGTCCATTCCACCGGATACTATATGTGAGCTATTTGCTGAAGATTAAGCATCTAAGACTTTATATCCATGCCCCATATAAGTCTTCAAGATCGATGATTGCCGAGGAATCTAATATCCCCATAATTTCATTGATTTATCAGATCCACCGGTCATGCAATAGTTTCCATCAACTAAAAGTAAATAAAAGGGTTTAGCAACAAAAACAAAGAGCTTTACAATATAATTAGTTTACAAAACATACAATTAAAGCGGATTGTGCGAACAGCGCCTATTTTACAACATAATTGATATCTTAAAATATTAGGATGTCCCATTGCTAGAGAAATATATAAATGAATAAAAAGTTTTTAGCTTAGCTCTACCAACTTTCAAACTTCGGGAAGAGAATTGATTATAAATATATGATGGATTGATGGGTCTGCACCTCCACTTGCTCTGATCGAAAAAAAATACAACATTAAATTATAGCTTACATAGAACTACAGTTAAAGTCTTCCGCAACAGTAACTGCAATGTGTTAAAAAGCCATAAGCTCATAATTTTGCAGCATAAAGCTGAAAAACTGCTGAGTGTCTCGTATAAAGTAAACAGATACAAATGACTGCTGTGGAAGCCGTAATAAAATCTTTATACTTTACTATGGCTTTTAAGCCGTAATTACTCCACTTTATTATGGACTTCACAAAAGTCGAAACACAAAGATTTGTTTCAGTGCGGAAAAGATCATTTTGAACATGGGTCGAAGAATTTTCGCCGACAAATGTTGTAAGACAAAGCATTGTACAACTCGTCTGCTTCCTTTTCTCTGAAATTATAACTATTCATTTCTTTTTGTATGTCAATGTTATAAGTTGATTTATAACAGAGCAAATCTTGAACTCCTGTCTATTCTTGATCTGGAGTTTATTTTAGAATTTTTGAGCTTTATTCTTGTGAAAAATGAAATCTTGTAGTTAATTTTATGTTTAGTAATTTTTGATCCAAATGGAGTAATGTAAAATTTCTAAGAATTATATTGAAATATCAAATTTATTTTAATATCATTAGTACTTGAAACTATGGTTACAGCTTTCAGGGGTCTAACTAGGTTTTTCTGTAAGGTACCTATTTTGTGAAAATTTTTACAAAATTTATGAAAATTAAGAATTATTTAAAAAAATCAACACAAAAATGTGGTAAAAATATGGTTTATCGTTTCTTACGGGATGAAAAATAAAATTTTAAGAGAAAGTATTTTGTAAGACTACCGTTTCTCCTAAAATTGAATTTGTAAAGATACCGCTAAATGGTAGTAAATTTGACATAGACAGACCCCTGGCTTTATTTCACTCTGTTTGTTTCTTAGAGATCAGCCTTTTACCAATCCTTTGTTCGATTAGCTATATTTCAAGGTAGTAAAATTTACTTGATTTTTTTTCTTCTTTTACTGAGATATACTGTTTTAAATTTTAATAATTTTTTTTTCTTTCGTTTAAAAAGAATCTTGATTACGGGATGAAAAATAAAATTTTAAGAGAAAGTATTTTGTAAGACTACCGTTTCTCCTAAAATTGAATTTGTGAAGATACCGCTAAATGGTAGTAAATTTGGCATGGACAGACCCCTGGCTTTATTTTACTCTGTTTGTTTCTTACAGATCAACCTTTTACCAATCCTTTGTTCGATTAGCTATATTTCAAAGTAGTAAAATTTACTTGATTTTTTTTCTTCTTTTACTGAGATATACTGTTTTAAATTTTAATAATTTTTTTTCTTTCGTTTAAAAAGATTTTCCAGCAATTGCTCATATTATTCCTCAGTGTTGTGGTTTCTCATTATCCCTTTATTTGCATAAAAAAATCAATATCACTTAATTTGGTTATTGTATTGTAGTAAAAAATAATTAAATTTGATGTTTGGTGAACTATTTTTTTTTAAAGAAGAGCTTGCAATTCATAAAAAAAATAGTTTCTGAAGTACAAGTGGGGATTCAGAATGGAACTAATAAACAGAATAAATTTGCTCTCTTGTTGAGTAGATTTCCGTGCTGTAATCTGTGGCAGAATAATTGTCAAGTCTTGGGAACTTCCAGCAGTGGCCTGCGACAAACTTATGAAAACATCACAAAAAGGGATCAACTTGTAAAGTATGACTCGTAGCAATCCTTGTACAAGCATCTACATGTTTTTTTTTTTTTTTTTTAAATTGCTAGTTTTAAATCTATTTGTCACCTTGTCAATTGTTGCTAGCGCAACAGATCATGATACAGAAATATCCATCTCTTGTTTTTATTGAAAAGGCTTTTCCTTTCATTCAAATGCAGTAAAGCAAATTTTAAGTTGTGATATTTTTAATTAAATATATGTTGGGAAGAAAAGGGTAAGATCTGATAGTGGGGTTAGACCCAGTAGCTTGATTGTATTGAGATTCTGTTTTCTAATGAACAAACTCTGAGTTACACTTTATTAAGCAAGAAGAAGAACCTACCATTTTTTTGTGTTGTTGTTGATTAATTCAAGTCATCTTGGTAAATAAGTTTGTTTTATTTTGGAATTACATTATTAGAAACTATTGAAAATTTTTATTTATTCAAATATATTTTCTGGTTTTTCATTCTCCAAAATTATTTTTAATTTTTGAGTGTACTAAGTCATGCACAGTAAGATATAAATAAACATCTCTCAGAGGCATAAGTAAGCAATCACTTTTTCATCTGTTGCTACAAGGAAAAAAAAATAAAAATTCAAACTTTCGCCAGTTAAAATAGTTTCCTCAAAAAAAAAAAAAAGAAAGAAAGACTCTGCCTGACTAAGGATTTCATAATTAATGTTATGAAAATACTAGAATTTTCTTCTTAGCTTAATCAGAAGCTTTCTTTTTATAATATTTATTAAATTTTTTGCATCAGAAATGGTGATAAATCAAATTAACTAGGAGGTGAAGGTCCTATCAATTGGTTGTTGCTTAAGAAAAAAGTTACATGTTTTTTTAAATCTTTTTTCACTTTATTTTTGTTTGCTATGTTGAAATAGTTCTGATAATAGTAGTATGATAATAATAAAGGGCAATTATGTTGCTACAGAAACAGAAATTCAAAAATAAAAACTGATTTTCTTTTATTTAAAAAAGTTTTATTAAATGTTACTAAAAAATGATGCATATTAAAATGATTATTTCCTTTAGTAAAAAGGAAATCCAAATGATTTAAATATGATTTTAGTAGCAATTTAGATCAAGCTGATTCAAATTGGTTTATTATTGTAACACATTGTTCAAAAATTGTTGTACATTTTTGCTTAATATAGGAGTGTTTCCTTACTTTGAGTGGCCCACAAGGTGTCGGAGAGACTGCAGCGGTCAAAGCCTATGTAAATCTCTTGATATTAAGTTATTTGCTTGGTCAAATAAGCATCAAGAAAATGCTAAACACAAATAATGGTAAAATCATTTTTTCTTTCCTGAGTTTTGTATTTAAAAATATTTAATGTGCATAAAATTGTTAAAATATTAGGTATGCAATTTGTTTTGTGTTTCTCATGTTTAACTTGACTTCTTTNTCCACCTCTTGTTTTTATTGAAAAGACTTTTCCTTTCATTCAAATGCAGTAAAGCAAATTTTAAGTGGTGATATTTTTAATTAAATATATGTTGGGAAGAAAAGGGTAAGATCTGATAGTGGGGTTAGACCCGGTAGCTTGATTGTATTGAAATTCTGTTTTCTAATGAACAAACTCTGAGTTACACTTTATTAAGTAAGAAGAAGAACCTACCATTTTTTTTGTGTTGTTGATTAATTCAAGTTATCTTGGTAAATAAGTTTGTTTTATTTTGGACTTACATTGTTAGAATCTATTGAAAAATTTTATTTATTCAAATATATTTTCTGGTTTTTCATTCTCCAAAATTCTTTTTAATTTTTGAGTGTATACTAAGTCATGCACAGTAAATTATAAATAAACATCTCTCAGAGGCATAAGTAAGCAATTGCTTTTTCATCTGTTGCTACAAGAAAGAAAAATTAAAATTCAAACTTTCGCCAGTTAAAATAGTTTCCTCAAAAAAATAGAGGAAGACTCTGCCTGACTAAGGATTTCATAATTAATGTTATGAAAATACTAAAATTTTCTTAGCTTAATCAAAAGCTTTCTTTTTATAATATTTATTTAATTTTTTGCATCAGAAATGGTGATAAATCAAATTAACTAGTAGGTGAAGGTCCTATCAATTGGTTGTTGTTTAAGAAAAAAGTTACATGTTTTTCACTTTATTTTTGTTTGCTATGTTGAATAGTTCTGATAATAGTAGTATGATAATAATAAAGAGCAATTATGATGCTACAGAAACAGAAATTCAAAAATAAAAACTGATTTTGTTTTATGTAAAAAAGTTTTATTAAATGTTGCTAAAAAATGATACATATTAAAAAGATTATTTCTTTTAGTTTAAGTTGTGATTTTTTTAAAAAGGAGATCCCAATGATTTAAATATGATTTTAGTAGCAATTTATATCAAGCTGATTCAAATTGGTTTATTATTGTAGCACATTGTTCAAAAATTGATGTACATTTTTGTTTAATATAGGAGTGTTTCCTTACTTTGATTGGCCCACCAGGTGTCGGAGAGACTGCAACGGTCAAAGCTTATGTAAATCTCCTGATATTAAGTTATTTGCTTGGTCAAATAAGCATCAAGAAAATGCTAAACACAAATAATGGTAAAATCTTTTTTCCTTTCCTGAGTTTTGTATTTAAAAATATTTCATGTGCATAAAATTGTTAAAATATTAGGTATGCAATTTGTTCTGTGTTTCTCATGTTTAACTTGACTTCTTTATTTTTAAAAATCCACTGTCAAAATAGATTTTAAAATAAGAAGATAAATGATAAAAAAAATCATTATTTGAAAGGCTTAATTTGATTTAAATTAGTTAATTTATTTTAAATTTACCAATTGAAGATGCAGTACAATTTATAAATATTTTTCAATAACAAAACTAAAACTTCTGAATATTATGGTTAATGTTATTATGCAACAGGGTTCCCACGATACTTGAAAAACCTTGAAAGTCCTTGAATTTGGTTGAAAAAAATCAAGGTCCTGAGAAGTTCTTGAATTCTGTCATTGGGTACTTGAAAAGTACTTAATTTTTTTGGAATTAGAATACTACTAATTTTTCTTTAAAAAAAAAGTTGTAAAACACAATAAATAAATTCTAATAAAAATTATAGAAATTCTGATTGATGGAATTTTTAATGCTTGAAGTGAAAAGGGGTTAAAAAAGATGGAAAACTTTTCTCTCCTAGATTTTTCAGACCAGATTGTTGCTCATCTCTCTGATGTTTTGAAAGCTGAAATTTCTAGCAAATTTTAGGTTTTGTAGTCTTAGTTTTCGAATGATATATAGTGTTTAATCGATTTAGAAATATGTTCAATGTGTTAACTTCAATATTACAACTGGTTAATATTGTTATCCTATTTGTTCTTTTAATTTTTGTACGAAGGATAATTAAATTTTTGCAGTTAGTTTTTACTGCTAATAAATAAAATTTAGTTCTACAGGTTTCATTGATTATGAATAAATATCGTGAATTGCGGTTACACTGAAAGTGATTAATGAATCACATATCGAATGTACTACTTTAAAGTCATTTGCAAATTACTCATCAGAATTCATATTAAGTATTTTATAAATCACACATAATGATTCACATTAAGTGATTTATCAATCACGCATCATGATTTCAATTAAGGTTATTTCTGAATCATATAATGGATATGTATTTAAGTAATTTCAGAATCATGCCTCACAATTCTCATTTTAGTACATAGTTTACAAATCATGCATTGTGATTCACATTAGAGAGATTTAAGAATTACCACCCACAATTCTCCTCAAAATGATTTAAGAATCACACATAGCTGTTCTATAGCACCTTTCGAATCACAATTTGCATCCTTGTGATCACTATTCACATGAAAACTATTAGCTAATCACGCAACAGAATTCACATTAAAGTGATTTATGTATCTCACATTATGATTTATGTCTTGCTAGTTCACACATTTTGTATAATTTGCTATTCATATAATTCTGATTTCAGAAATATACACCGCAATTCAATTTCAATTTACAAATTACACATTGTGATATGTGATTTACGTAATCTTTGAGACTTACTTCACCTTTCTTATAATTTTGATTTACATATTGTAGTATATCTAGATTTGTATAAATGCGATTTAAAAATTACGTTTAGTGAAGATTAGGCATATTCACAAAATTTGCATTTTATGGATATATTTTAAAGAAAATATAGCTCGGTACGTCTTAGTTAGTTATCTGTCAAATATTGTTCTACAATAGATTTTATTATGTTCAAGATACATTACTGATATTCTGAAGTAACGAGATAGAAAATATGGTATTAAAATTGAAACAGTTATGTTAAATGGATATATTTTGATAATTTATCTAATTCTATACATTTTCTGTAACCTAAAATTTGATCTAACATATTAAAAAGAAGAATTTATATTTTAATAACCGTGCAATTACACAAACTTTATCAATTATTTACTATGCTTGTTTAATGTAATATGCATTATACATTCATTCAGTTTCATTCATTCTACTTCAGTTCATTAAATTTTTCATGAAAAGTTTGGAGTTGTTGTTTTTTTTGTCAATTGGAGTTTTTCAAAGTGATTTGAAACAACAATGTATCAACCATTTGTATTGTTAGCTGATAAATTTAATAAATATTTATTTTTTTGTTGTCAAACAGGCATTGTGTTTTAAAAATATGCAATTTCTGCTTCTACCTAATTGTAAAATCTAGTTGATGTGTACTTTAGCATGTAACAATAATACCGAATAGGTCCTTGAAAAATTTGATTTTAGGTCCTTGAAAGATATTGAAAAGTCCTTGATTTTTTTTTAAAAATTGAGTGGGAACTCTGTACAATTATTAAAAACAAATCCCTAAATTAATAAAATTATAATTTTCTTTCAAGCTGAATAATATGTAGCTTAATGAAAATGTGAGCTTAATATAACATATTTTTATAATATTTTTAAATTTCAATGGTGTCCATTGAAGCATTTGTTAATAGTTGGCGAGATTCTCTAGTTCTGAATAATTAAGAATTTTAAGTTCAATAAAAAAGGTGTTAAAATGAATTATGAATTCCAGATATTACTTATTAAAATGATGCGTTATAAACACAAAATAATAAATTTGTTTTTAAATATTTTTTAACCATGTTAAACTTAATTTAAAAATTTATTTCAATTTAATTTCAAAGATTTATTTTCATGTTAAGTGAAAGAAATGTTGAATCAATCTTTTTATAGAATAATTTTCGGTTTTGAAAAAGTAGAAAAGCTTAAATTACTGACTTTATTTATTTATTCTAGCTTGAATTTAATGCAGGGAATTATCTTCCTCATAGCAGTAACCTTTTTAAAAACTTGTGATCTCAGTAAAACTTTTAATTCATTCTTTCAAAAAAAAAAAAAAGAAAAAGGTGAGAAGAAAAAAAAATGAAATTGATATATTGCTGTATATTTTATTTATTTTATTTTTATTGCGCTAATCTATGTCATAAGAGTATTGCAAATAAACATGTGCATTTATTCACATTACAAAAACAAGAATTAAATTTTATAAACACATATAGAAATAATTTTTCACTGCGCAAAATCACTCAAAGAATAAAAATATTGAGAAAACATGTCAACATTACTGTCTCTTTAATTGTTTAATAAATAATTAAAACAATTTCTTTTCATTTTGCAAAAGTTTTTTTAAAAATTCTTTAACTTAAGTGAAACTGTCTAGTTTGAACGTCTAGTTAGACGCTGAAATTATATGGCTAAATTAAATTACATTAAGGGAAAATGTAAGTATAAGCACATAGAACATGGAGATGATGATGAGGGGCAGATATATTTCAATTGACTAAATTCTTGAAAGTGTTGATTCGTTTTCAGCGATATCGAATGCTTAACCTGAGACTTTTCTTTCTATTTTAATTAATGAGTTTTTTTTCTTTAGAAATATATAATGAATTAATTTTATTATTTTAGAATTCTTCTTTGCATTTTATAAATACTATATAGGAGAAAAAGGAATTAGAAATTTAAAAATAATTTCTAACTATAGCAAAATTTCTATTTACTCAAAGAATAATATTGAGAATAAATATAAGTCTTAATGTATATGTAATATATAGAAAAAAAAGAAGAAAAAACACACTGCATTAGTAAATATTTACTTAAAGAAAATACTTCAACTCTAGTTCAGAAAAAAAGAGCTAAAATGTATTACATTACCTTTTAATTTTTGAACATTAGTGCATAGATTGTAACGATGGTCGATAGAAGTATTTTAATGAACTAGATTTATGAAAACACTGATTTTTTTCATGCAATACCGAATTATAAAATCATCCACACTATATCTAAATGTATACTACCTCTATCCAATGTGCAACTGATTTTAATTAAGTAATTAAGCTGCAATGGAGCATTATTTTAACTAAAAAAAATGAAATTAAATAATATTTTCTATGAATTTTAACGCCAATGATTTTAGCCAAGAAGAGATGTTGATTCTCTGTAAGGAGCTGCATAACCATTTCTTCAGATATTTTAGTAATAACAAACAGTTTGGAGTTTTAAAATCCTTCTTCCATTTCGCACACACTATCAACACCTTAAATTTAATTCTTAAAATTTTTACTAATACTAATATACAAAGAATGTTAAAACAATATAAGTCATATCAAAATTAAAAGAGCATTGAAATAGCCTTAGCGGATGGAGGGGGCACATTTCTATTCAGCAAATGTGACGTCATAACCAATCAAGAATTGTTTTTGATTGCATCATTTACGGAGGCCTTTTTGAGAAATTAATAATATTTAGTAGTTAAACAAATGAGCATTTGAGGAGAAAACAATTATATTTTCGGATTCAGGAGAGAATTTCCAATTAGTTAGAACTGAAAATAATATGCTGTAATTGTTCATTATGTACTTATTCAAACTAGGATTTTTACATAAAAATTTTATATATTTGCCTGTATATGACTTCGTTAACATCTTTTATACTTTTAAAAAATTTAATAGTATTTCTTTTCTACATTTTGTATAAATGTTAAATATATTTTAAAATCTCTCTTTTAGGCATGTTCTGCTTTGGAGATCAGATAACCTCTAGGGAAACTCAAGCTCGGTCCTTATGTCTATTTCTCTTACAATCATCGAAATATTTTTACATTCAAATGGTAAAAGAATGATACTTATTGAGGTGAGACTTTTTTATTTCAATTATTTAATTATCAAACAATGACATTTAAAAGAGTGGGAACTGGGAATTTTTTTTAAAATTGAATTTCTGTATTAGTTTTTTTTTTAAAATGCTTTTTAATATCTCAACCTTTTGTTTGGACTTTTTTTATTATAAGGAAATTAATTTTTCTATGGATTGCGGTCATTTCTTTCAAGATGCTTCATAGTGATCTGGTATACTTTTTAAAAAATTTATTTAGAGAATGATGAAGATAATTTAATTCATTTTCTGTTTTATGTAAAATGATAAAATATTGTTAAACGCAAATAAGAGTTAAATTTTTTAGTAAGTTAATTGCCCATTCAAAATATTTCCTTGAATATAGACTATTATTATTATTTTCAATTACCTCTTTTTTTTTTTACTTCTTATAATAAAAATAGTAACTAAATGTTAAATGTTTTGAAATAAATCTTTTTTTTTTCTTTCACACTTTTTGTCACTTTTTTTTCCTTTTAAAGCACAACTCTACAAAATGTAATACATTGAAGCAAGGAACACCACAAAGAACACAAATAATTGTTTGTGGATGCAAGAACAAGCATTTTTTTTTCACCTTCAAGTTTGACTTAAAACTGTTTTAAACTTTAATTATCAATGAGATTATAATAATTATTTAAAAATTGAAGGTGACCTCCCTTTTTCCTGAAGTTGCAATACATCATTAAAAGATTATCATTAGTGTCCACTGGAATGGTATGGAAGTTTCTAAAAGTTTAACGAAAGATTAAAAGAAAAAGTATGACTGACAAATCTAAAGAATTCACCTATGACTGGCTGACCAAAAGTGGCTTATAGCATTTTCAATTTAGCCCCTGAACTGTCTTAAATAAAATATACTAGGAAAATAAACATGCCAGAAAAAATATTTTCCAGCTGTATTCTGCATCATTTACTTATGTAATTTATCATTTTTCTCACATTATTGGATTGCAACAATTTTGTTTTCAAAGTCTGGTTTATTATGATAGATATGATTTCAAAAGTTGAAAAACAAATAAAAATAATTATAAGTGATAAATTTAAATAAAGTGAAAATATTTTTCTTTGAAATTTGATTTAGTTCTTCGAACAACTTTGTCTCCCCAACTCAGAATAATTTTGCCAATTTCTTTTCACTGCCAACTATTTTTAGCCCATTTTTACTGCTGCCACCTTTGTTACATAACGAAAACTTTAACAAATATTGGAACCCTACTAAACTCAAAATTAACTTATTATTGGGATACTAGGTTGATATGATTTAAATCACTTGATTTAAGTCATGTTTTAAATTAACTATATATATATATTTTTAATGAAAATCAGTGTTTTAAACTAAATGATTTTTTTAATAAGTTATTAAGTCAAAAATATTTTGTAATTATATTCTTTAAGGTGTGATTTTTTAGTCTGATTTTATTGATAATAAAGGTTTTATCCAAAAAATATAAATTATTATGTTTCTAAATAGACAAGTAAATAAATTAAACTAGAGACTAATTTTTCTTTTGCTGTATGTAAAACAATCAGCTAGGAATTTAACATATTTTAATAACATCCATTTAATTTAATGTTTATTTAAATACTTTAAGTGTTCTTAAAACAAATTAAATATATGTCATTAGCATTTAACAATATTGATGAAAGACAGCACATAAAAATTTTCAATAATTTTTTTTTCTTTAATGTGTTCTGATTTAAACTGTTTTACTCTTCACTGGGTATCTAACTGTTCAATTGCCTCCCTGTAATTAAATTGTTAGAAATATTAACAATTTTATCTATATTATTGAAAGTACAACTTTTAAGTCATATATTGTTAATGTATTTTATTAGATAATTTGGCTAGTATATATAAAAAAAATTGATTTATATAAAAAAAATTCAATTTAAATGAAAATTTGTTTTTAAAAAAAGTTTTGCCAGCTCCTTTGGGATTGTCATTTATTAACATCAAGTAATATACATTTACTTAATAAAAAATACGGAGGATATCTAAGATTTTTTTTCAACCCGGCAAACATTTTGTTACCACTTGGCCACAAGTTTTATAAAACTAAAGCATTGTATACAATTTAAAGAATTACAGCTCTGTATTTTTTTATTATTTTTTTTAATAACAGCAGGCACTGAACTTTCATTCTTCGGCTTAGAAGATGCTGGAAGTGTTGCTCATTTATCGTTACCCAGCGGGCACCTGTGAACCAAAGTCACAGAGGCGAGCAACATTACTCAAGCCACACTGCCACAAATACCCATTCATAGGGTAGGCCATGTTCATACATTCACACATCAGAAGACGACACAGATAGAGAGAAACATCCATGCCCAGAGCGGGATTCGAACCCGCAGCCATTGGCTTCACAGTCAGGCACGCTAACCACTCGGCCAGCTGGCCGGCGACAGCTCTGTATCAAATATTTTACCCAAGGTCCAGTTTTGTTCCTCTTATGCCCATAATTTCATAAAAATAAAAGAAATAAAAATCCCCTGAATATAAGTAAGTAAAAACTCAGCTAAAAATATGGTATCGAGGCTACATTTTACCATAGCATTTCCATATTAATTTCATTAATAAACAATCATTCTTTTACAAAATAGTAACTCTTCATAACTACTTTACTAACTCAGGCTGACAAACAACCCTCAACTACATTATTTAATATTAAAAACAACTTATATTCAAACTCTCTTTCTTAAATGTAATAATGCTAACAATAAGACTTTCTCCAATCAAAAAACATTACTCAAAACTCCATCTAAAAACCAAACTTTAATGATTAAATCGCTTCAGAACATGTTACAAGCAATACAAAACACCAATAAAACCGTAATTGCATAAATAATATTCTTATTACCACCTTCATTATTTTTTCCCTGTTGCTCAATCACAAATTTGTCAAATTTATCACCACAATGTCAAATATCCACTTCTAATGCAGCCTTGCCTCTCTGAATATCTTCTTCTTCTCACCTTATCCTTTATTTCTTTTTTTCAATCTTTTCAAAAAGCTTAAAATATCAGATCAGTCATCGTCAGATTTGGTAAGAATTAAAAATTTGTCAAAGAGAGCTGCAGAGCTAAAAAAAAGCTGTTTTGAGTTTATTTAATTTTTTATGATGTTTCTTTTTTTAATTCAATTCCAGATATTATTTTTAATCTTATTCTGGTTATCTTTTAACCAAAAATGGAATTGTTTCCTTAACATTTCTTTGAATATACTTTTATAAGTGGATAAATGAAAGGTTGTATGAATGGATTCACCTTATAAACAGGTGTGGCAGAAGTCGAATTCTTGGCCATAGATGGCCCACTGAAAAACAAGAACAATTGCATCACTGAGTGCCTTAATGGCACACAACAACATGGAATTTTTAACAAAATTTGGAATGAGAACTAATAAGAAGTCAATAATTCATTTGTTTTACCAGCATTAAATTTTTTTAATGCATATATGAGCCTTTAATTGCTCAAACTGTCAGTATTATATCATGGAAATGATTTGTCATCTCCCACTGTTGCATCTGATTTCCAATTGGTGCTAGTGTTACCATTTTCCCACGTAATGCCATCTTTTATGTCATACAATGCATTTGTTATGTGAGATTTGCTTAAGACAATGTATTATAGACTAATTGTAAGCTTTTCCCCACTTAACAAGTGCCCATTCTGATTTTTTGACTCACAAATTTTTGTGGCTTCAATTCTAAGCTGCTGCTTAGAGTAGAATACATAGGTACTTAACTATAAAATTAACACTCAAAATGGTGACCTGTCCTGCTTGGTCTAAATGAAATTGCACTTCTGAACAAGAAGTCGCTGCATCATAAATATATAGAATTGCAGCAAATATTTACTCATAAATGCAGAACTTATTTTGACAAAAATATTCTTCGTCTATCTACTGCATGCTAAGTTTTTAATTTAACTTGTAAGCATATGATATTATGCTGATTATAATATATTTCCATTACATAACATATGTTCAGAAAGCTCTTAAATCTGAGCAAAAATAAAGTCAGGAAGAATGCATGATTTATCTCCAAAATAAGTTATTTCTTACAACACTTTTTAAAAAGATTAAGTACAATTTTTAAACAAGAAAAATATGATTCATGAAAGAAATGTACTAATGTTATTAATGTATCGCACGCTGAAGACTTCGCATAAGAATGCGTTACACATTTTTAATTCTTAATAATGAAGAGTAACTGATATTCCACCATCCTTTTTACCATAGATTATGTCTAGGTTAAGAAATGATGGTTCTTTCATACTTTCATGTGGAATTCAAGATGCTCTATGTTCATTGAGCACTAACCTCAAAAGAATAGGTGGACGTCCATGAAACTTTTGCTATCCATTGAATTTTTACCTGTGAAAAAATGCTTGTTTTGAAAGAGCAAAAATGCTTAACTCCTGTTTTTGATATGATTTTCTTACATAAAATTAAACAAAAATTTCAAGTTATATTGGAATGAGCAATTCAATATTTATCAAAAGTAAGGTTAACTTTCATATTGAAAATATACCAAAATGTTGCATATATATGAAAACATCTGATATTTTTATTGTATTTGAAATATTATTCTTACTACTACTGAGCTCTTTCATTTTTTTCCTTATTTTTAAACCAAATGTTGAAAAAGCAAAAATTTTTAACACCTATATTTGATGTAATTTTCTTATAAAAAATTTATAAAAAATTTCATATTATATTGGAATCAACAGTTCAATTCAGATTTTCTAACACACGTTAAATTCAGGTCTAAAGAGAATAGAAAGGCAAGTTCACTCCGCTCTTAGAGCTGAAGCTACGATTTCCCTTCTCATGACGTCACTCTGTCCACAGATCTCGGAGATCGCAAACAAAGATATTATGATAACTTTGCATCTTTCTCTTTCTAAAAATAAGTTAGACATTTTCTGGTTANTCGCTAACAGCAATGTTTGTAAACCAATTGTTGCATTAATACTATTTTTCTCTTTTTTATTTTACCTTTTATAACATATTTTAGTTACCTTTTACCTTTTATAACATATTTATATAA